GTAATCCTACCAGCAGTGAATGAGTGTTCCCCTTTCTCCACATCCTGGCCAGCATTTGGTATCACGTGTTCTCTTGATCCTAGCAGGCTTTTTATTTTTTAAATAAATGTATTTGTGTGTGTGTGTGTGTGTGTGTGTGCGCGCGCGCGCCCCCGCCCGCACGCATGCACACATTCAGGCACATGAGCCTGGGTGCATGTGTGGAGGTCAGAGGACAACTTCTGGGTGTTGTTTCTCTCCTTCAACCAAGTAGGACCCTGGTATTAAACTAAGTCAAGCTTGGTGGCAAGCTCTTTACTCACTGAGTCATCTTGAAGGTTACACTTTATTAAAAACTTAAAAAAAAAAGATATATATATATATAGCTGTGTGTGTGTGTAAGTATGTGTGCAGATGCCCAGAGACCAAATGAGGTTGTTGCAAAGCCCCTGGAGGTTGAGTTACAGCCTGTTGTGCGCTACCCGATGGAGGTGCTGAGAACTGAACTCAGGTCATCTGCAACAGCAATAACTCACTTAACCACCAAGCCATTTCTCCAGCCCTTCTACCTTTTCTTTCTTCTCTCTCTCTCTCTCTCTCTCTCTCTCTCTCTCTCTCTTTTCTTTTTATGAGACAGGAGATGGTCTCCCTGTAGCTCCAGCTGGCCTGGAACTCACTATGTACACCAGGCTGGCCCTTGAACTTACAGCTATCCACCTGCCTCTTACCTTATTTTTCAAGGCATGGTCTCTCACTGAACCTGGAGTTCAGCAACTGGCTAGACTGGCTGGTGTGGGAACTCCAGGGATCTACCTAGCTCCACCTTCCCAACACTAGGGTCACAGGCAAGCACTCCACTCAACTTTAAATACTAGGGATCCAAACTTAAGCCCTCATGATTGCATAGCAGGCATTTTACCAACAGAGCTATCTCCCCAGGACAGGAAGGACTTGACAATTAAATGAGAAACTAGGAAAATAAATGAAGTTTGAGATTTTTTTTTAAATTTAATTTATTCCTTTTTTTTTTTTTTTGTCTTTCTGAGACAGGGTGTCCCTGTAGCCCCAGCTGTCCTGGAACTCACTATGTAGACCAGGCTGGCCTTGAACTCACAGGGATCCGCCTGCCTCTGCCTCCCAAGTGCTGGGATTAAAGGTGTGTGCCACCACACCTGACTAAAAATACTTCATTTTTAATACACTTTTAAGTGTATGAGTGTATTGCCTGCATGTATGTAAGTGCACCTGTGTCGTGCAATGCCCCTGGAGGTCACAAGAGGGATCGATCCCCTGGAACTGGAGTTACTGACGGTTGTTAGCTGGCCATGTGGGTGCTGGGAACCAAACCCCCAGTCCTCTTAAAGGGCAGCCAGTGCTCTTAACAGCTGAGCCATTTCTCCAGCCCCAAACTTGAGATCTTAAAGCCAAAGAGGTTGTTAAAGATATTCAAGTACAAGGTATGGCTGTGCCACCCATGAGTCTGTAGTATAATCAAAGTGTTCATTGGTATAAAAATGCTGAGTGTTAGAAAAACTAGGGGCTGGAGCGATAGCTCAGCAGTTAAGAGCATTGGCTGCTCCTGCAGACCACCTGGCCTGTTCCCAGCACCCACATGGCAGCTAGAATTGTTAATGCCAGTTCCAAGGGATAGGGCACCCTCTTTTGGCCCCCCACAGGTACTGCACACATGTGGTGCCTTTACAAACATGCAGGCACATACACATAAAAAATCAAAAGAACACCAACTGTAGTGGTGCATGCCTTTAGTCCCAGCACTCCGCAGAGGCAGGTGGAGCTCTATGTGAGGCCAGCCTGGTCTACATAGTGAGTGCCAGGCCATCTAGGGAAATTATCACACTGGCAGGACCTAGTCCAACATCAGTGGACAAGGATGAAGCTAGACAGCTAATTTTGCTAAGAAAGTGGGAGACTTCTGTGAAGGCTGTTAAGTGATGGAGACATGGTAGAGAATGACAATAAAGTAGCCTGAAAGCATGGAATGTACAGGAACATAAGTATTTTAGGTAAACTTTAGATGATCTTCAAATCCAGCTCTGTCTTAAGACAGGGTCTCATATAGTTCAGGCTGGTCTGAAACTTGCTATGTAGCCAAGAAGGAACTTGAAGTTCCTGATCCTCTTAAGTCTACTCCCTAAGTATTGAGATCACGAGTGTGCACCACACCTGGCTTCATGTCCCTAGTTTACAAATGAGAATTAAAGTGTAGGCAACCGGTACCACATTGTAACAGATTAGCTGGCTAGGGCTGACCTGGAACTCAAACTCTCTGCCTTCTGTGTGCTGTGATTAAAGTCAATCGCTAATACCGGGATCACAGAAGAGTCAAAAAAATTTTACGATATCGTGGTAAGATAACTACACACAATATTAGTGTACTGGAGTTTATATTAATATTAACGCAGGCCAATATTTAATATAGCATATTGATTACAGACTCAGCAGAATACTTAGGAGAGTCTTCCAACCTGAGACTGCGACCAAAATTATTTTTCTAAAATAAAAGCGACTGAGAAAGCAGTGTGGTCTAAATCTGGAAGCAGAAGCCTTGCGCCCTTAGAATATGGGTTTCCATCGCTCCTCTACTAATTAAACAGACACCTGGAACACGCGTTCCGCACAAAGGTGCCTCCATTGCCCATTCACCCAGCAAACCCCTCAAAAATGTGTCAAATGAAACAAGGAAACCGACACAACTCCATTGTTTACGTAATTCGTCAAACTTTCTCAAGATACTTCTTTAATTCTTTTTAATTTTTTAACTACCTGTATTTATTCTGTGGGAGTGACACAACGTCGCGCGTTAAGTCAGAGGAGAGCTTGCAGGAGTTTTGGCTTGTCACCGTGTACAACCCGGGAATCGAACTTCCCTCTTCACACTTGGCGGCAAGCGTCCCTACCCGCTGAGCCACCTCGCAGGCCCTCGTTTTAATTCTAAGACTCAGTCGTTCATTTTCCGCCTGGTTACACTGTACACTCCCATTCCCTCACCGGCTCACTCAATAACCTCGGCTTTCGGTTACAAAGGGGATCCCGAGCGCGGAACCGGAAGGAGAACCGCCCTTCCGCCTCCTTCTCGCCAATCACCGGGGACCTACGTTTCCGCTGCCGGGGTGAGGCCCTCTCTCGGAGCCCCTGGGTCCCTACGAAAATGGGAGGTGGCGCGTGCGCAGCAGAGGCTTCGGCAGCCCTTCCGGTACGCCCGGCGCGCAGACAAGCGCGGGCACGCACGCACGCACGCACGCCCTCCTCCCTGCACTCTAGTGCCGCCGAGGCCGCTCGGGCGTACACCAGCAAGCGCCGTCCATTCAGGAGAGATGCTCCGGGCTTGTCAGTTGTCCGGCGTGACGGTTGCGGCCCAGGTGAGCGTGGGGGCTCCCAAGGGGCGCGTGGGCACTGGCTGCGGGCAGCCAACGGACAACGGGAGAGGCTTTCGTGATGTGCAGTCCCCGGGAACGAGGGCGAGCTGGGAGAGGCCCAGGGCGGGAGACTGAGGCTGTCTACCCGGGAGCTCCCACGACTGGAATGACTAGGGTTATTCCGGAGAAGCGGGCTGAGGCGTGGAGGGCTGGCAGGGACACGGGCGCGGGGCTGGGGCTTCCCTCCAGGGACCTGTTATCCAATCAGCGCCGCGCTGCTCAGGTCGCCAACCAATCCTGGCTACAGGCGTCCGGCAGCTGGTTGGGCAAGTGATAGGTATAGTGAAGGTCGAGGCGGGAGAACTACGATTCCCGTGAGGGCTTGCGTCGCCAAGGGCTTGTTGCATCTTTTATAAGCAGGTTCCTGGATTGCTGAGAAAGCCCGCGTTTTAGGGGTCAAGGTTTTATCCGAGTGGATTGCCCTTTTCATAGCTAAGAACACTTCTGAGGTATTCTCACTCTATAATAAAAAGTGGAAGATTTGTTTATGGAGCTTAAACTTGGGACTTTTTGAAAGAACAGGAGTCATGACCTTGTGCTTATTTCTGAGACTAGTTTGGGAATCTGTTATTGAACGCAGGAACTGTGTCTGACATTCAAGGATCCCAGACCGCTTTTGCTTTTAAACTTTATGTAACTGTCAACATAACTTTCTAGATTTGGAAAAAAAACCCATTTTATTGCTTAGGATTTTCAGAGAATTCATACTTCGACAAAAGGCTGTATTGAGAAACATACTGAGACTCGGGCAATAATTGAATAAAATCTCTAGACATACGCAGGTAAAGATCACAAAAGTTAGTCTTTTTTGTTTATTTTCATGTTTACTTTCCTCCCTACCCAACAGCTTCTTCCATAGGGAAGTGAGACTTGTATTAATTGTCTGTTGGTGTTTAACAAAGAGCACAGATTGACCAACTAGTTATATCACCATTGTGTAGGTGAGAAATTTGGGCATGAGTGATCTGGGTTCTTTGCTTAGAGTCACACAAAGCTTTATTTAGATGTATTGGCCATGTGGGTTCTCATGGAGGGAACAAAATTCAGGCCTTTTAGATGTCATACCAAGTCCCCTTTTTCTTGCTACTTCTTGAAAACCCTTGCTCTCAGCTTTTAGAAATTGGCAGTAGTTTCTGGCCACAAGGCTCTTGAGGCCATTGGTAACATGAATATTTGCTTTCAAATAGTCTGTTTGCTGTCACTGTTAACTTGTCTCTTCTTGGTCTTTGATGTTTTGAGTTAGGCAAGGCCCACCTGGATAATTTCCCTTTTAACTAATTCAGATGCCACTTTGGGAGATCCCAATTAGAGACTAAAACATTGCCAAATGAATGCTACTCAGTGAATACACTCATACACATAAAATAAAAATTTTTTTGGTCTTTTTGAGACAGGGTCTCCCTGTAGCCCCAGCTGGCCTGGAACTTACTATGTAGACCAGACTGGCCTCTAACTCACAGAGATCAACCTGCCTCTGCCTCCCAAGTGTCGGAATTAAAGGCATGTACCACTGTGCCCATCTAGTAAAATATTTTTAAAAATGTAAACTCTAGGGGCTGGAGAGATGGCTCAGTGGTTAAGAACACTGAATGTTCTTGCAGAAGATGGGTTTGAATCCCAGCACCCACATGGCAGCTAATAGCTGTCTGTAACTCCAGTTCCAGGAGATGCGACAGCCTCTTCTGTCCTCCAAGGGTGCTGCATGACATGGGTGTACTTAACCTATATGCAGGCAATACACACATACACATAAAAATAATAAATTAAAAAATATTTTTTAAAAAATGTAATCTGCAAATAAGGTTTGGTTGTACACGCCTATAATCCCAACACTCCACAAGCAGGAGGATCACTCCATGTTTGAAGCCAACTGGTCTGGAATTCCAGGACATCCAGGGTTTTATAGTAATAACCTGTCCCCCAATACAAAACAAAAAATAAACTCCACAAAGAATCTTGTAGTGTTTTCTGCTATATTTCCAGTGGAACTGTAGTCCCTAGCCCCTAGTAGATGCTCAGTAATGTGACATGTTTGAGTGAAAGAATGAGTACATTCTTTCAAGTTTTCTTTTTCTTTTTGGTCTTTTTGAGACAGGGTCTCCCTGTAGCCCCAGCTAGCCTGAACTCACTATGTAGACCAGGCTGGCCTTGAACTCACAGAGATCCGCCTGCCTCTGCTTCCTGCATGCTGGGACTAAAGGTGTGTGCCACCACACCCGGCTCTGATAATTTTCTTAATCTCCTTAGGTGCTGTCACCTTTTTAAAAAGCCTGTCCTCATAGATTTGGAACCTCTAATGGTATATTAAGTCAGGGTTCTCCAGAGAAACAGAATCAGTAGGGTGTGTATAGAGAATGGTTTATTGTAAGGGCTCAATTCACACAGTTAATGCAGGTTGATAAATACAAAATCCGCAATTGTGGGCTACCAGAGCAGTGACCCAGGAGAGCACATCATGCAGTTTGCAGTCTGAAGGCCCATCAGCCTGGAGACTTAGGAGAGCAGTTGACACAGTTACAGTGTGAAGGCAGTATGTTAGAATTCCTTCTTGATTTTTTTTTTCTATTTAGGCCTTCAGCTATTTGGATGATACAGTATTGAGGGTGGCCTATTAATATTTCAACAGTTTAATTATTATTACCCTAAACACCTGCCAACCCAACAAGAAAAATAAATCATCACCATCAGAGATTGTACTTCTTCATTCTTTTAAGTCTGGCCTTACCACATCCTTGAATTTTTTTTAGCACATATTTAAAATATGTTGTTCTCAGCCGGGCGTAGTGGCGCATCCCTGTAGTCCCAGCACTCGGCGGGGCAGAGGCAGGCGGATCTCTGTGAGTTCAAGGCCAGCCTGGTCTACATAGAGTTCCAGGCCAGCTGGGACTGCAGGGAGACCCTGTCTCAAAAAGACCAAAAAAAAAAGAAAAAGAAAAAAGTGTTCTTCGAGTCTCCTGGCCCTCTCCTAGGTTTTTCTTCCCCAGCTCTTCTTTTTGTCCTTGTATTGTATTACCAGGTCCATCTTTTTCAAGATGGCCACTAGGTTTGGAGGACCTAAGCTTTCGGCCTGGTCTACATGTGGTCATTTGTATATATAGTAATCTTCATTGGCATTGAATCTTAGCCAAAATGTTGAGAATTGATGTAATAGTTTTCTCTGCTTGTACCTAAGAAGAGGAAATATTGTTCCTGAGGGTCACCCAAGCTAGCTTATTTGATTGACACTAAATTTGATAGCCTGACTAGTTAAGGATTAAACTTGTCTGTTACAGAAGTAGGCAGTCAACCACATGTGTTTGGAAGTGGTTCAATAGACCCCTGCAGGCTGTATGCTTCTGCTCACACTAGATTCTTCTTCATTTTCAGACCTTTAGACCAGTGGCTTTTAAACCATTTTAAAATACATCTTAAATAATTTCATGCACTTGAGTAAGAATTATATAAAATACATTCACATACGTGTAAAGGGGAAAACTAAAGTATCAGATTTGTTCTTTGGGTATACCATATTAATATTTGCCATTACCTAACCAAAGAATGCTTTTTGTCTCAGATTCAGAATGTTTATCCTGACAAATTTGGTGCTTCAATCTTAACTCTCACTAGACATTTTTGTGAGCTGATAGTTTTTAACCTTAGTAAGCAATTTTTCTTTAAAAAACTTTTCAAGGTTTGTTTTTATTATTAGTTATTTTTGGTCTTTTTGAGACAGGGTCTTCCTATAGCCTCAGCCAGCCTGGCACTCCCTAGTAGACTAGGCTGGCTTCAGTCTCACAGAGATCCACCTGCCTCTGCCTCGCAAGGGCTCCGATTAAAGGTGTGAGCCACCACGCCCAATGTTCTTTAGCCTTTTTTTTTGAGACAGGGTCTGCCTGTATCCTCAGCTGTCCTGGAACTCAATATGTAAACCAGGCTGGCCTCGATCCAATTGCCTCTGCCTCCCAAGTGCTGGGACTAAAGGCGTGTTCCACCATGCCCAGCTAATTTTTTTTTAACATGTATGAGTGTATTGCCTACATGTATGTAAGTGTGCCCATGTTGTATAATGCCTGCCAGGGTCAGAAGGGGCATCGGATCCCCTGGAACTGGAGTTAATAGGTGGTTGGTAGTGCAGCGTGACTGCTGGGAGTCCTCTGGAGAACAGCCAGTGCTCTTAACTGCTGAGCCATCTCTCCAACCCCCTCTAGCCCCTTAGAAATTTATTTTAAAATTTTTTAATTTTTATTATTATTTTTCTTTTATGTGTATGTATGTATTGCCTGCATGTAGGTAAGTGCATCTGTGTCCCGCAATGCCTGAGGAGGACAGAAGAGACTGTCGGATCCCCTGGAACTGGAGTTACGGACAGTTGTTAGCTGTCATGTGGGTGCTGGGATTCGAACCCAGGTCTTCTGCAAGAACAGTCAGTGCTCTTAACCACTGAGCCATCTCTCCAGCCCCTTTAAATTTATTTTTATTTTATGTGTATGAGTGTTTTGCCTGCATGTATATAAGTGCACTCCTGTTGTACAGTGCCCAAGGAGGGCAGAAGCGGGCATTAGATCTCCTGGAACTGGAGTTATGGACAGTTGTTAGCCACCATGTGAGTACTGAGAATGGAAACCTGGGTCCTGTGCAAGAGCAGCCAGTGCTCTTAACTGCTGAACCATGTCCCCATCCCCTTAGCAAGCAACTCTTTTTAATTGTTTGTTTTGTTCTGTTGAGATAGGGTCTCAACTTCATAGTCTTGGCTTGCCTGGTATTTGCTTTGTAGTTCAGGCTGCCCTCCAACTTGTGCAGTCCTCTGTTCCTGCTAGGATTACAGGGCTGCATCTGGCAACATGATTCTCCTCCCCCTTCTTTTGGACTTCCTCTTCTTCCTTTAAAAAAAAAAAATTGCATTTTTATTTTTCATCTTGTAGGCATGTGTTTGTGTGTATGTGTATGGATGCACACATGCCACA